CCATTTTAACATTTTCCTTTTTTCACCTCTTACCAATTTACACGTTTTCCTTTCATTAACCTACTCACCTGAGACAAACTCACGCTTCGGTTTAACTCACCGGTCATTTTGGTTGCTTTCACTTTAGTAGACTAGAAAAGGTTGACCTTTCCTCTCACTCACTCTTCATCTCTATGTTGTGTGGTGGTTGGGTGGTGTGTGGTCGCGTGCTGTGTTGTGTCATTTCCAGAAACCCTTTGTTCAATCCAATACTTTCAGATTGTCAAACTTGAGTAAACCCGACTCGTACGTTCAAGCGCTTTGCAATCGTAAATGGGCGATCCCGACTCGGACAACCCGCAGTCAGGGAAGTCCCATCCATCTTTTCGGGCCACTTGCCCAGTTCACACACGTGAAGCCTTTGAAGAGTCAATGGACAACCCAACAGGAGAGTCCCACTCATCTTCTCGGGCAACTTGCCCAGTTTACATATCTGAAGCTATTCAAGAGCCACGCTCAATGGACAATCCGTCAGGGGAGTTTTCTTCATCTTTTCGGGCCACCTGCCCAGTTTGCAAACGTGAAGCTATCCGAGAGTTATGCTCAATGTTAGAGTACGACGAAATGCCTTACTCTGCTCATGAAGCAATCGCGACCATGAATACCACCACCAATCCATGCGATGCTTGCAGACTCACAGATTTTAGAGCTGCCTGTTCAATTCTCGAACGTCAGGGCACTCCCAGCTCAGCTTAAAAGTTGATCGACCTTTCCATCAGTCTCGATGACTTCTCGTCTCCTGAGGCAGCTTTTATAACTAGTTCCCATATGGAGTATTCCGAAGAAGCACTTCTAGCATCAGACGACGATTCCGCTGGCCCTCCGTCATCGTCACAGGCCGCTTCCCAACCAAGCTCGTCGGCTACGACATTCAAGCGCCTCCTGCGTCTCCCCCTCACGCCCAGCCTTTCACAGCGCTGGCTTTTCTTTTGGCTGGGAATCTCAGGAAAGTGATCCAGCCCCGGCTTCTCAGCCATCCTCATCCCGCTTTGGAGAAGGCGCGTTTTCCTCGGAACCAGTAGCGATCGCACCTTTTTCCGCCTCTTCACAGCACGGCAGAGCAAGCGCTAGGCGGCGCCCAGCTTCCCCACATTTTGGCGAAGGGGCGATTTCTTCGAAGCAAGCGGTACCAGCCCCCTTCCCTTCGTCATCCAGCTCTCGAGGCAACACAACTGCACAGCGTCGCCCACCGGCTAGAGGCTCACACCAGTTTCCTACTCGAGGGTCGCGTCCGTCCTCCAGCCTCTTCAGGAGGGGCGCACGCTCATCAGAATCATCGAGAGGTTCATCCTCTTTTACTTCATCACGCGCTCGCGATCGCATGGCCCCGCAACATTCGCAGGAGCCTCGCCCAGCAGCCAGCAACATCCAGGATCGACCTACCTTACCTCCACCTAGCCCTCCTGCTGCAGGAGAGTGCCGTCTCTCTTCATCGGCCCCGCGAGCTCCTTCCCCCGCTCTCCGTCATGTCAAGAAGCCTGGGCCCTCTCAACTCCAGGAATTTACGCCACCAGACTTTCACCACTATCTTATGAATCGTCACCCATGGGCTCACTTGGTCAAACCCCGTCCATATAACCTGTCGATTGACCCTAAAATTCAAGCAGTACCGGACCTGCCAGTGGACGACTACAGGCACCTTCCTTCGTCAGCCTATAACAACACGAAGTTCGTCCGTTCACTGTTCCCGCGCATTGGCATTAGGACCGGACGCCCAGTTCACGAACTGCCGTTTATCGAATTTTAACATCTTGAAGACACATCGCCTTCCGTGAACACTCTCTGCGAATAATCGAAGATGTATTGGACGGCGCCTATGATGAGTTCAGGGAACCCCAAGTGCAACCCACGAACGAACCACGGTGATACATCTCAGGCCTGAGTTTTGGCGTGGGAAACAACCAGTCCTGTTTTAGGTAGTCTCCCTGGGATGGCGTTCTGGTATGATCCTCGAATCTAAGGACATCTTCTTGCCGGGTCCTGATCGGCGTGATCTCCACTGTATAATCATGGATTCTCGGGCGGTTGACATCACCAACGGGCAGGCGGGCAGGAGGGATTCGACAGGGTTGTTGCGATCAAAGACTTTGTTTGGGTCTATGACGTCAAACCGTCAAACCAGGCCTTCACCCACCCCGAAGAGGCGCTGACTCGGTCTCGCGTTTTCCGCACAACCGCGTTAAATAACACCTCGACCTATTTCTTCTGGGTGTCGCACTTTGCCTTCGTACCGCCCGCGAACAAATTGACCGCGTCTTTGGCATCGTCATGGCCCTCAAAAGACATCAGCAAGGTGTCAACTCTTTTAAGGCCGTCTTTGAAGGCGCTCCGGAGCCCGTCGTGGTCAACGTTGGCATCTGCCGTTTTGATCTGCTAACCATCAGGGTGTACCAGTTCCTCCTGGCGGACGCGCGTTGCAACGTTTCCAGCGCAATGCGCTTTTTCGAACTCCCAGCCTCCACCGCGGCTCGCGATCAACTCTGCCAGGTTATCAGGGAGTTTCTGCCGATGCACCCCTGGGAAGGAGTCCGTCCTTTGAAGAACTGGCATGGCTCGAAGATTGCGCCGCTCGATTCGAAAACTTCGCGAGGTTCTTCCACGAGGCCAGACGCCGATTGCTTAAATGGTTCAATGCGGCCTGCTCAGGAGTCGCAGCGTTTACCTTGCTGCCGGACGACCAACAAAGCCGCTGGGTTTTGGCCGACATTCCAAGCCTGTCGGTTTATCCCCTCCGGTTGGACTTCGTCCTCCGCGATATGGCAAGCGAGGCAGGCTGGACA